TGGACATGGAAAGAACACCAGTATAAAAGAAGGAGGCAAGCAAGCAAAGCGCGGTACATAGTGACAGCGCGCGTAGAGAAGTGCAAAGCACGCCATGGCGGGTGTGCATTACTACATATACATGACAACACAAGCACAAACGGCGAGGAAAGTAGATACTGCGCTACAGCAGTGATAACAGCCCAGTTCCAGTCTCACACCACCAGTGAGGTGTCTAGAGCCCCGCGCCACTCGCAGTAAGGTGGTGTTATAGCAGATCCCAGCCACTGTTATTGTTAATTTCCGGGGATCGCTCCCTGATATTGATGGCCTCCCGGATCCTCCTCCTGGGGCGGTCACGCTCAGAACCGAGAACCCGGATACCTGAGAAAGCCGTTGCTCCCAATGGCAATGGGTCAGATGCATGCTTGGCCGCGAAATGCTCACCCAGCGCGGTGCCGCTCACTGTGTTGCGTGCGTCGTCGTTGTGTTCTTTTGTCCTGGTAGCGAGGCTGCGGTACGTCTCTCCGACATATCTATTACCACATTTGCACTCGAGGTGGTATACAACATTTCGCTCCGTGCATGCCCCTGAACCGGACATGCAGGCGTAATGGCAAGATAAATGCCCAGCTGATTTACAGGAACCGCCGTCTAAGTTCTATGATTTGCACGTCTGCCCTCCGCAAACCACCATGCCGCAGGTATGTAGACCCGTCCAGGCCCCGTAGACGGGGGCGGCCCAAAGCTGCTTGTGTCGCCTGCATGTCCGGTTCAGGGGCATGCACGGAGCGAAATGTTGTATACCACCTCGAGTGCAAATGTGGTAATAGATATGTCGGAGAGACGTACCGCAGCCTCGCTACCAGGACAAAAGAACACAACGACGACGCACGCAACACAGTGAGCGGCACCGCGCTGGGTGAGCATTTCGCGGCCAAGCATGCATCTGACCCATTGCCATTGGGAGCAACGGCTTTCTCAGGTATCCGGGTTCTCGGTTCTGAGCGTGACCGCCCCAGGAGGAGGATCCGGGAGGCCATCAATATCAGGGAGCGATCCCCGGAAATTAACAATAACAGTGGCTGGGATCTGCTATAACACCACCTTACTGCGAGTGGCGCGGGGCTCTAGACACCTCACTGGTGGTGTGAGACTGGAACTGGGCTGTTATCACTGCTGTAGCGCAGTATCTACTTTCCTCGCCGTTTGTGCTTGTGTTGTCATGTATATGTAGTAATGCACACCCGCCATGACGTGCTTTGCACTTCTCTACGCGCGCTGTCACTATGTACCGCGCTTTGCTTGCTTGCCTCCTTCTTTTATACTGCTGTTCTTTCCATGTCCACTTCATTCCTGATGATGGTCATAAAGACCGAAACGTTGTAACGATACCAATGGATTTGTGTGAAATGCAGTGCTCTCTTGAGTGTAGGCAGGTTGCCTGCAAACAATTCAAGAGATATTTAAACTAAACTAAACTGATACTTGGAACAATAAAGCAGCAGTAAGCAGTAAGCAGTAAACACAGGTATACAATACAAGCGATGCAGATCAATGAGGCCGTTTGCTGAAAAGAAGATCTAAATACTTCTGAAAAGACGCTGCGTCTTTAAGCATGGGCATAATGGGATAATGCAAGAATTAAAGAGATGTTTTTAAAAACGAATTTAAACTAGGAACGCAGTAAACACAGTTATACAATACAGGCGGTGCAGATCAATGAGGGAGTTTGCTGAAAAGAAGATCAAAATACTTCTGAAAAGACGCTGCGTCTTTTAGCATGGTCTGAAGGTGCTTAGCAAATGTAGTGCGGTGCTGGGTGCGCCACTCCACAGGCAAAGAATTAAAGAACAGGGCAGCACGATTTGAAAAGGAATTGACACCGTCAGTCGTCCGGAATTTAGATATTGCAATAGCAGCATTAAAAGAGCTTCTTGTTGTCCTAGGGCCGGTTGAAACTTGAGGGAAAAGGTCCGTCAGATTTGGGAGAGGGAAAACGACATGATTAACACGGATAAATTTAGCAATGCTACGAATAAGGTAATGTTCAAACGGATCAATCGACAATCTAGCTAACAGTGGCATGACGTCATCTTGTAGTTTCGAGCCACAAGCAGCGCGTACAGAACGACGATAAACGGACGAGAGTCGCTGTCGGTCCTTGGCGGATAGCTTCATTGCAAAGCAAGAGCAGCAGTATAATAAGTCAGGCAGGATAACCGAGAGGATAAACTGCCGTGTTGCCTTCAAACTTAGTTGCCGAAAACACCGTCGAAGAGCGCCAATTTTCGTACAAGTCTTCCTAACGATAAAGTCTATGTGACCAGACCAAGAAACATCACTGTCTACAATGACTCCCAGGATTCTCGTGCTAGACACTTGAGTCAGAGGCTGTTGGTTAAAAACGATTGGAGTTGAGAGGGGTTGAGAAGACTTAGAAATCATCAAAGTTACAGTCTTTGTTGTATTAATGCGCAGCCCAAGCTCGTCTAGATCCACAGAAATTGCAGATAACGAATCAGTAACGGTAGCGACGGCCTCAGCTTGTGTACGTCTGCTGGCATACAACGTCATGTCGTCAGCGAACATCGGGAGCTTGCAAGAAAAGGCCTCTGCTGTCAATGGGAGCTTCCGTACATAGATGTTAAATAGCACCGGACCCAGAATGGTGCCCTGTGGCACGCCACTAGTGATTGCCACCAACGGAGATGTTCCAGTGTGGGTAACCACCCGCTGTTGTCTGGCACAAAGGTATGATCGGAACCAGGCCAGGGCCACTCCCGAAATACCGACAGCTGCGAGAGCAAGAAGAAGCTGCTGATGCTTCACCATATCGAACGCTTTTTTCAAATCAATACAGACAACCGCCGTATGCAGTCCAGCGTCGCGCGAGACAAGCCAGTCGTTCGTAACCTTGGTGAGAAGCGTCCGGTAGAACGGTGCTTCCGAAAGCCAAACTGGTCCACATGGAATGGGCAACGATCATTAAAAAAAAGATGTATACGAGAAAACACAAGCCCCTCCAGGAGCTTGGCTAGGATAGATGTTAAAGACACTGGGTGGTAGTTAGAAGGGCAGTCGCGGGGGCCTTGAGTTGACTTCAGAATTGGTGTAATGTTTGCAATTTTGAACAAGGATGGGAATTGACCAGACGAGAGGGAAGTGTTGAATAAGATAGCAAGTGATAGAGCAATTACGTCTTTTGATATTTTAAGTAGACACGGAAGAATGCCGTCCGGTCCAGGGGCTTTATTACTTTGGAGGTCACCGATCCGAAGCTTCACCTCTGCTACTGTAACGGCTGAAAACGTAGTAAGGTCGTCGGATTTAGCAGGTCCCATTGGGAGCTTGTAATTCGCTTCCTTATCTGTGACAATCTGCATAAGATCGGAAAGCTGTGGAACTGCCTTCCACCAAGGCTGACATCCCAAGATCCACTTTCTAAATTTCAGCAGCAATATCGCTTGCACGTGAAAAGTTTTAAATTTGACTGTAGTGGTATATCCCTGGACATTTAAATTAATTGTTTTATTTTTAACAACCCAGCCCTGTGTTTATTGCTAATTTATGTAGCATATACTGTAACACGTGTAGTTTTCCTCACTGTTTATTTCTATTGCATGATTTGCATCAGGAGATCCCCTCGACAGGCCGTCGCCTCTGGGAGATCCTTTAATAAAGATTATTATGGACAATCGAGTGAAAATAGTCGTTCAATCGCTCAGGTGGGATGGTAACCGTTTGCTTCGGAGAGGAACGCTTTGTGATCATATTCAAGGCTTTCCAGAACTGCCGAGGCTCCCGTTCATACCGCTGGCACTGATCTGAAAAGTATAGATTCTGTAGGTGTCGATACAAGTTATTGCACTGGTTGCGTAGCCGCTTGAATTGTACAGATAGGCTCTCGTCTCGAAAGTTAGTAGCTTTTAGTTTCTTGAAGACCGATTTGCGCTTTCTAATCAAGGCAAGGAGGGGCGAGGTCATGAACGGGCAATTTTTCCGACGGGACTTCCTTTGTTTCCTGGTTACGTACGGTGCGATGATATCAAGCACAGCATTGACTTTCCCTGTCCACTCGTCCAACATCAGGTCTGGGGTACGGGATGTAAAGATATGAAGATCGGAGGACAGCAGCATATCGCAGAAACGCTGAGCGTTGAAGTTCCGGTAGTCTCTGCGTGTTTGATGGGTAGCAGTAGTGCTCCGCGCATCCATGATGGGCACTGGGACGGAAGTAATGGCGAGGCGATGGTCTGAAAACTCACAGTCCACGACAGAGGCTGACGGAACTCGATCAATGTTCGTGAGAATACAGTCAATGGATGTACGGGTAGAGCCTGTTATTCTTGTTGCTTCAGTTACTTTATTGGCCAGTCTGCACGGAAGTAGCAACGTGTCTTTGAGATGGTGGAACGCACTGGACGTCTGACGCAGAAAGTCCACATTTATGTCACCTAGCAACACAATATTCTCGCCGTCCAGCTGCTCCGTGGATGTAGCGAGCCGATTCCAAAACTCTACCGGCTCGGATGGGGGACGGTATATGCAACCAAACAAGGTACTATCTTTGCCTGTGCCAGCTCTAAGCCACATCAACTCTAGACTGGAGTGTGAGTGGTCCAAGATGTGCTTAGCCTTAACATGTTCCTTTACGAAGATGCAGATCCCGCCTCCTTTACGACATGGAGTGCAGGAGGATAGGCAAGTGCATCCATCAGCGCACGGCCTGTCTCGACGTAAGAGAATTGTGCCTGGTACAGAAACCTCAGTGTCCGAGATGCTTGAGTCGAGCCACGTTTCCGTAACCGCCAGCAGATCTAGGCAGTGCTCATCTATTAGCTTAGTTATAACGTGGGTTTTATGTCGTAGGCTGCAAATGTTTATGTGGCCAACATTTAGTCGGTTGGATGGATGAATTGTAGAGTAGAATGCTGGGGTTGAGGGATTTGGAGACGAAGGGGTGAACACAGGAGCATGCGGGTTCAGGGGCTGTGATTACCGGTAGGTGGTGTGTGGCATTATGTGAGTGCTGGAGCTGTGCCGTCAGCACCAAAGCGCCATTCACGAACTGCAAAACCGAGCGAGTCCGGCCAAAATGCTTTGTCCTGTACGGTGGTGGCGTCCGACGCCAACACTGTGACCCTGGCAAACCCTGTTCGGAAGCGCTCCGAGGTGTACACAACACTCTGCACGATGTGTACATCCTGTGCCTGACAATGCTCTGCAATTGATTTGGCATCACATTCGGGGTCCACGTTGCCAACGTAGAACACTTTGACTCTTGGCTTACCCGTTAGTGCACATCGGGTGGTGCTCTTTGGAAGCTTGGGTGCCAGCCAGCGAGACGATTCCTGTCGCCTGTACGGCTTGGGAGGCTGGCGTTGTGGCCTTTGGGCAGCTGGGGCAGCTGCAGGGGTTGGGTCCATGGGTGTGAAGACAAAGATGACGACAACTATTTGCTAAGCACTATATAACCATATAACCAGCTAGCACACATAAACATCAAATATCAAATATTATCATAATATATTCGCAACATCACAGTCTACAACAATTTACAACCCCAGCATCTAACACAATAATTTCACACTGTGTCCAGCAGTCTCCAGCCACGATCCCTGTTAACACTTGGGCGTTTATCACGAATGAACATTGCTTCACGTATACGACGATTCACAAGGGAAGACTGCTTGGCGAGAATTGATGCGTTGGTGATGGGTGTAGATGTGATTGCTTGTTGTGGGTGGTGTTCTGCATAGTGTTCTCCCCATGGCGTCTCCAGCGCTTGCGCTTTGGCCTCTCTGCAATGCTCCTCAAATCCCTTCCTTGCAGTTCGCTCGGTCTCGCCAACGTACTCCTCGGCGCAAAGTGCACATAACATCGAGTAGATAACATCCTGAGACAAACATTGACCACTCTCCATACCAGCATCACATGCACGACATTCAACTGGTCGCCCCCTCCCTCTTCTCTTCTTATACACTTCCTTCGGGCATTCAGGACGGGACAATGATGACGATACCAACATGTCCCTTAGTGACCTACCGGACTGGAACACCACACGCACATCCTTACTGAAAGACCTCACCGTACGACGAACATCACGTGCCAAACGATCATTGACGAAGGGCAGTTTGATGATGGATGTGTACGATTGTTGTCGTTGTCTGGTGGATGATGGTCTTGGTGTGCTTGCATGGTGCTTGGCTGCTTGAATAGCGTGTTGTGGGTAGTCGTTGTTGTTGTTGAAATTTTATTTTGTATCGCAGACCAAACGGGCAATGGTGCCCTATATTATGATGGCGATAAAGTAACGGCCGAGAGCCAAGGATACAACAAGCAAGCCTCCACGAAAGAGAGAAAAACACAGAAAACACAGACTGCAAATACTCAAAAAGAAAAAAGAGAAAGGGAAAAAAAGAAAAATAAAGAAGAAGAAAGCACAGTTGAGTCACAGTTGAGTCACGACTCCAAGTCCAAGCCTAGATGCTGGCTAACCATAAAAATAAACCTTTAAAAGTCTCTTGAATGATCTATGGCAGGCGAGGGACTTGAACTCTTGGGGCAGGGCGTTCCATAATTTAACAGCAGAAACGAGCGGCCGACAGTCACCAGAGACTCGCCTGGTGGCAGGGACAACATACGCATTTGGATCGTTGATCCGAGTGACGCCGTCAGTCTGGTGACGTAGGCGCTTGGACAGGAGATTACTAATTCTGGCGGTGTGGATACGAAGCATGAGGAGGCGGAGCTTACAGTGGGCGTTTTGGATGATGGGGATGAGGCCTAGACGGGTGTAGATGGGATCTGTGTGGGAGGGGAATGGTTGGTTGGCAACGCAGCGGATACATCGCTTGTCGAGGACCGAAAGCTGATGCCGTTGGTGCGCAGAGAGAACCGAGAAGAAGGCATTAGATCCATACAACATGTCCGGTAGTATTAACGATCTGTAAAATAGCAGGGCTTGTTGCTCAGTTAAGCAGGAGCGAATGGCTCGCAGCGCCGTCAGTTTCTGGGAGGTCTTCCGTGTAATAGTTGCAACTTGAGCCTCCCACCGAAGCTGGGTGTCGAGATGTAGACCTAGATATCGAGCATTTGTGGTCTGAGCTAGGGGATTTCCATTGCATTCTATGTTAATTTAAGTAACAAGGGCTGCCTGCGAGACGCATGAAGGGCTAGAACGTGGGTTTTGGAGGGATTTAGTATTAAGCCTCTTTCTTCCAGAAAGTTGGCCAGGTTGGAGACTGAACGGGAGAGGGTTAAATTCAAGAATTCGACGGATTGACTGATGGCGTCTAGCAGGATATCATCAGCAAACAGCTGTGAGTGGGCTGGAGCTGTGATCTGTTCTATTTCCATTGTGTAGATGGAGAACAAAAGAGGACCCAGCACACTTCCCTGAGGAACACCACACTCACAGGGAGAGAGGGCGGACGACTGGCCATTGCTCAGGACGACTCGCTGACGGCGGTCAGTTAGGTAGCTCATGAACCAACTGAGAGCCGTTGAGGTAATACCAAGCTGAAATAGATCTGTAACCAAAATTTGGTGTTTGACCTTATCGAAGGCCTTGCTCATATCGACAAGTACAAGACCTGTATGGCGCTGCTGATCCGCTGCCTCCAAGTATCTGTCTACAGCCAATGTCAGGGCATCTTCTGTGGAGTGAAGTGGGCGATATGCGAACTGGTTTGCGGGGAACAAGGAATTTCCGGAGAGGAACTTACAGAGTCTCGTGTGGACTACCCGTTCTAGGACTTTGGAAACTATTGGTAATAACGATATTGGTCTATAGTTCTTAGCGACAGCTTTGTCGCCTGACTTGAAGAGGGGACGGACATCCGCAATCTTCAGAGATGCAGGAACAACACCAGAAGCCAGAGATGCATTGATTAGTATGGTGAGGGACGGTGCAAGGACAGGAGAACAGTGTTTGAGGATTGCAGCTGGAACCTGGTCGCTGCCTGCAGCTTTGCGCACGTCGATGTTGGAGAGCAGCTTAGCGATCTCTTGCACACTTGCTGGAGCAAATTCTTCGAGGCATTCCTTCTTCGTGGGACCCAATGGGGCTGAGAGACGTAGTGGTCTAGTTGGGTCTGACACAACACCGCTGAATTGGTCACTGAGCTGTGAGACACTGACGGCTGGTGGAACTGAGGACTTGTTACGACCGCTGAGGTAGTTGATGGTCTGCCAGGTTTTTCGTGCGTTGGCCTGACTAGCAGCAAGAAGGTCCCCAAAGTAGATGGCTCGGAGATGTCGTGACATACGCTTGGCTTCGTCTCGGGCAGAAGTGAAGACATTGCGTAGTGCCGGGTCTGCAGGTGATGCTTTCCACCGTCGATGGGCCGCGTCACGTCGCTGGACTAGGTCATGTAGAGCTGGCGTCTTCCAGGGGAAGGATTTCCGGGTAGGAGCTCTTGGGCGGTGTAGACGGATAGGAGCATGAGTGTTCAAGGCCGCGACAAGTTTCTCCAGCCACATATCCCACATTTCATCTTCTGTCCGCGCAAAGCAGAAGTTCTCTAGATCGCTATTTAGAAGGTGGTGTGCAAATTGACCCATATCAATTCTTGCAATGTTACGGCCACGTCGCACGGTCGGTGTGCAGGACGTTGTGAGTCGCAAATCAAGTGCCAGAGCGAAGTGGTCACTGATTGTACAAGGTACTACGACACAAGAGTTCACATGATCGTCTCCGACCAGAGCGAGATCCAGGGTTGTTTGGCTGCCTTGGGGTCCAATTCTGGTAGGACTGTCCACTTGGTTCTTGATGTCGAAAGAATTACACAGGTGCAGCAAGCTGTTTAGCTGGGGGCTGTCGCGGGAGCTTACATCGACATTGAAGTCTCCAACAAGGACCAGAGGTGATGTGGGAAGTGTGGAGATGACAGTGTCTAGTGCATTCGTCAAGTCTTGCCAGAATTGCACAGGAGTGCCTGGAGGACGGTACACACCACCAAGGAGAACCTTGGAACGCTGCCCACTGACCTCTAACATGAGCATTTCCACCTGGGTGTCAGCCTTCACAATTCGGGCTCGGAGATGATCTCTTACATATGCTGCTAAGCCTCCGCCATGAGTTGGCCTGTCGCGTCTGACCAGGGTGTAATTCTGTATGCGTAGGATGTCATCGGAAACGGAGGTCGTTAAGAAAGTCTCTGCCAGCATCATTATATCAACTTTATGGGAAAGAATATAATCTTCAATGTCATGCTTTTTATTGAGAAGATGGCAAACATTTAGGAATCCTATTTTGAGGTTACTTTTCTCGTAGTAATGTCTCGATCTTCTTCTCTCCCCGCTCCCTCCCCCTGTCGGTTGACGCGTTGCTATTTGCGCGCCGAAACTGCTCCTGGGCAACCGAACGCTTCACCCCCAATGGCAATGAAGACTCGTACGATAGATGGACACCACTATGACTGGGCTTAACGAACAACTCCCACTGCACAACACCAGTCGCCACAGAGATAGACAAGTCGAGGTAGCTGACTGTGTGCGAGACATTCTGCTGGGTGTGTTCTACTGTGAAGTGTATGTCTGGGTGTCTGCTGCTCAAGTACTGCACGAACTCCATCAACTTGACAAGACCATGACACCATACTACCAGACAATCATCGATGTAGCGACGATACAAGCGAGGCGTCCACGGAAACATAGCCATCGCCTCCGACTCGAGCTTCGACATGAAAATGATTGCCATTGGGGGTGCGAGATGGTTGCCCATTGCCAGGCCTTTCCGCTGCCGGTACTGGACACCGTAAAATTCGAAGTAGTTGGACGATAACACGACTGACAGGAGCTCCCGAACATCCGACAGTGACAGGTGAAACATATCTACTTCCTTCCGATGCAACTCCAAGAACTCCATGACGACATCAATGCTCTCGACAACTGGTATGTTAGAATACAACGAGACAACATCCAGTGAGGCAATGATACAATCATCGGGAAGAACACCAACATCACTCAACACGTCAATACACTCCTTTGTACTGGTCAAATGTGCTGGAACGAACTTCAACAACTGATTAAGGATACGTTCCAGTAACAAGGAGACATTATCCATTGACGAACCGCACGTAGACACAACTGGGCGCAGCGGAAGACCTGGCTTGTGGTCTTTGGGTAGACCGTAGAATTGGCTCAGTCGTGAGTTATGTGGGAGAATGGCTTTGGCGAGTGGTTGTGGTAGCTTGTGTTGGGTGATCTCAGCGACTTCCTTGCGTGTGTGTTTGTCAAGGTCTTCTACCTTCACGTCACAGCGCTCATAACTATCCCGACACTCCAACATGACATTCGCTTTCTGTACATAACTGTCACGAGACATCACTACAAATCCCTTACTCTTGTCAGATGGCTTAACCACGATTCCTTCATTCCTCCGTAAGGTGGAGAGGGTCTCCTTCTCCCTTCTCGTTAGTTGACGTCCGTTATTGGAGGTATTGATGTCGGCCTCTCTCTTGTACAGTCTCATGATGTTTCCCTTCAGTCTCCTTAATCCGTTTTCCTTCTCATCATCCATGCTTGGCGCCTGCTTGGTCGTGGTTGCAATCTTTCTCAGTCTCGTGTCATTGTCTAGATGTCGCACGGGCCTCCCGTAACCGTCTGATGAGAAGCTGCTTGCGTCCGGTTTTTCTCCGCCTCTTCTTTCCACCTCAGACCGAACGCCAGTCTCTCCACACCCACCTCCGCCTGCTGTACTGTTGACTTCGTCACGCGTCTGCCAGGAATAAACTTTGGTCCGAGCTCCATCACCTTTCTCGCTACCTCTGGCACCTCGCTCTCCACCGCTTCCTCAATCACAACTCTATTTCTCCGATTCTGGGCATTCATAGAAAATCTTAGTTACACTTTTAACTGTACTACAAATGCCGACTCAAAAAGACCCACCTTGCATATCAATAGCTCCCACACCAACACCAACAACGCAATCTACAGCAACCACAACTAATCCACCATCCAAGCCCATTATTGCAACACCAAGACGATCAACAGCCAACTACAGCAGAAGCTACGCACTCAGTGGACAAGGGCGAAAGGAGGGACGTGATAGCAGGGTGACGGCCGAGTTGAGTTCAATGGACCCGGTCAGGCGGGATTTACGAGACAGAGAGAGTACAGAGGAAGCGGAGGATGGAACGGACGGCGGAGGGAGCAGTGAGTCGGAGAGCAGTGATGGAAGTGATGGTGAGAGTGCCGCTGAGAGTGTTAGTGTTGTGCGTAGGTTTCGTGGTAGCAAGTCTTCAGTGTAGAATCATCTGCTAGATAGTCCTGATTGTTGCAATTCGTATTCCGACTCTTCGTTCACTGTATTGTGCCGTGGTCGTCATGGTTATGGACTACAGTTAAAAGTGTTGGAAGCTATCTATCAGCGTCTGTATAAGCCTAATTTGTGTGTACAGAAAGATAGTATAATTGGGTTGAAATTGTTCAAGTAACGTGTCGTGTTTAGTGCGGCCAAGCTTGGCCGTTAATGTTCTAGGTGTAATGTACTGCTGTTATGTGTTATCACGTTGTCTTTCCTTCCTTTCTCCTTTGTTCATTTCTCGCTTTGATTGTTAAAATTCACACTTGTAAATTTCACTGCTGTTGCTCTTAGTGTTATTTCTCTAACTTAGATTTTCTATAATAGTTCAATTTTGTTTTCAGTGTTCTTTAGTACAACGACGATTCCTGATGAGTGTTGTACGAAAACTTGTTTGAATCCATATTTTTTCTCTACACCATTTCTTCATATTTTCATCGTATTATTGCACATTGTCTCCACCGTTTTTACATTGCATGAATAAAGTACACAAATGTCGGTTCAGCTAGTTTTATTGATTGCGGTTATCAAATTATTATTATTATTATTAGCTCAGGGGTTAGAGCATCGCTAGCTACAAGCGAGGGTCCCTGGTTCGAGTCCTGGTGGTGACAGTCAATTCTTTCTTAAGACTTTTCCCGTTTGTCTCTGTCCCTCAAACTAGTGAAGATTTTATGACTTGGGGCTCCCCGCGTGCTAGAGTGTACGTGAAGTGTGTGGGTACAGTGAGGGCTGCGTCCCATCCGCCTGTGTGGATTCACAGGAAGTGTGAGTTACGAAGTCTGAAGAAAATATTGAACAGTCACTGCTGGGAGGACGACTACACCATAGCTCAGTGGGTAGAGCATCGCTAGCTACATGTACAAGCGAGGGTCCTTGGTTCGAGTCCTGGTGGTGACAGTCAATTTTTTCTTCAGACCTTTCCCGTTTGGCTCTTTCCCTCAAACTAGTGAAGATTATTATTATTAAAAGTATAAAGGAAAAGTATATAGCAGTTATGCTGTTTATCCACTTCAGCAGGAACCTTGGGCTTTGCAGCTTCCATGTCCTACTACTAGTACTTATTATACCAACAAAATCTTTTTGTTTTGTTTAACAATAACAATAATAGTTATAAAAAAATCCAATCTGAAGAGCAATGTCAATAAAGCCGCTCATAACGCTAAAAATCAAATCAATTCAGGAAAATTCAATTCAATTCAAAGTCGTGACACATCCGGTTAAAAAACAGCAAGAAATAATATCTCGGTGCAAAAGAAGAAAAAGGAAATAAAAAGCCGTTTCATTTTAAAGGACCAAATGAAGAAAAGCAAAGAAATACCCACATCAGCGCAAAATTGCACCTTAAATAACATGACGCGTCCATTAGCATTGAGGACACTGCCATTAGCGAGGTTATACACACCACTGTTACATCCGTCCCTCAGCCATGACTAGTGGGCGCAATGCATTTACCAGTCGATGGTATGCAGAGCGAGCCCCTCTGATGCACATAACTGCAGCTCGGAGGAGTGCAAACGACAGACGGCATCTGACATAGGCCATAACCTCGCCGTAGGGCTTGCCATCATGCTGTGCCAGCATAGCGCATAATCGCTTCAAAAACCGCAAGCATTCTGGGGATGCACTGCCAGCCGTGGTGAAGACAAGAAAGGAAAAGGACATAATTATTACGGAATTATTATTATTATTATTATTGTAGAAAGGAAAAGGACATATGGAAACGAGTTAAAAGTAACTCTCCACCACTGTAACTAGATACTATATACAGTCAGAAAGTGCAACAACTAGGCACAAAACTGACAGAGTACTGAGACATTCGACGACCTGACACCTAGCTTCAACACATCTCCGTAGCGCTAACCGACAGCCTTCCAACTTGGAAGGTCCAAGGTTATGGAAAGACCAAAGACTTTTTGACTGTATATAGTATTTAGTTACAGTGGTGGAGAGTTACTCTGAACTCGTTTCCATATGTCCTTTTCCTTTCTACATTTATTATTGGCTCAATACCCGAGTTTCAAGTTTGGCCGAAAGCCAAACTCTTACAGTACTCCTCATGCAGGAAATTGTGATGGACTAGTTAACTACAAAACAAGTTGTTTAACACGACGTACGTTTCGCCGTATGGTTCGTGACGGCTCATCAGGTGTGCAATTTGAAACTCAGATGTCGAGCCATAAACAAATCTAGAAAGGAAAAGGACATATGGATACGAGTTAAGAGTAACTCTCCATCACTGTAACTGGATACTATATTCAGTCAGAAAGTGCAATAACTAGGCACAAAACTGACAAGAGTACTGAGACATTCGACGTCCTGACACCTAGCTTCAACACATCTCCGTAGCGCTAACCGACAGCCTTCCAACTTGGAAGGTTCAAGGTTATGAAAAGACCAAAGAGGGGAATGCATGAGGAGTACTGTAAGAGTTTGGCTTTCGGCTTGTACAATTCGTTTTCGCAAAGCTTCCCCTTTCTTTACTTATCTTTGATATTTATGACCCGCCCAAGTTGGGTGGTGTGCTGCTTTGCTGCTTCGAATTGTAGTTAGACCGCTTTGTCAAATATCGTACTGGTCTCGTCATCGTCCAGTAACAATCGACATTCTTTGTTCCGTTAGGACTGTGGCTTTTGCTCGTTTTCGTTGCGCTTGCCTTCCCCTCTTTGGTCTTTTCATAACCTTGAACCTTCCAAGCTGGAAGGCTGTCGGTTAGCGCTACGGAGATGTGTTGAAGCTAGGTGTCAGAACGTCGAATGTCTCAGTACTCTTGTCAGTTTTGTGCCTAGTTATTGCACTTTCTGACTGTATATAGTATCCAGTTACAGTGATGGAGAGTTACTCTTAACTCGTATCCATATGTCCTTTTCCTTTCTAGATTTAAATATTATTATTATTATTATTGCAATTTCAAATTTGGACTTCATTGCCCTTGCGTACGCACCTTTTGTCTCCTTTTGCTCCGTTGGCCTGGGTAGCTACTTGCGCGCCCATATTTGCCATAGCTACCCAGGCCCTTTATCTTGCCATTTAGACTTGATCTCACTCTCTTTTTTCTCACTCTTCAATGTAGTCGTTTCGTTCGTTTTGGTCTCTTGTCTCGTCGTCTAGTAGTATAATAAATGTCGTTCCCACTAACCTGTTCCCGTTGTAATGTCTGGATATGTCGTCAGTCGTCCTGTTTCGAACTCAACATTGGCGCCCAACGTGGGGCTCGAACCCACGACCCTGAGATTAAGAGTCTCAGTCGGTAGAGCATGAGATCATCCCATCATAGTGCCCAGCCGTCCTCAACCACCATTCGTCTCGTCTATATCAACCTCGTCTCGTCTCTATCAACCTCGTCTCTCCTACGCCAACCTCGTCTCGTCTCTATCAACCTCGTCTCTCCTACGCCAACCTTACCTCGTCTATTCTCGTTCAAGCCATGCAGGTCAGCTACCTTTCTCTTTCTTTTTTTTGTATGCTTCTTCGTCAAATTTATTTTCGTGAATTTTTTTGTAGTGTGTGTGCGCGCGCGTGTGTTCGTAAAACATTACCAAGTTAGGGGTCCGATCATGGTGAGCCACGCTCTAATTTTTGGATGTTTAGCAAAAGTGTAACTAGGCTGTATTAGCCGTGCAAAATACTAGTAATTCACGTTCCTCGTCAAACTCCAATTGTTATTTCACACAATAAGTAGTACAGGAATGATCTGTACGAGTGCATTTTAGTACACACTTTCGTGAGATCCATGCGCGCGTGCAGTATGTGTGTGTGTGTGTGTGTGTTTTCTCCTCCAGTTCATTTTTTTAAAATCTTTTCCTCTCTTTTTTTTCTCTCCGCGAGGACGCGGGATTTTTTCATGGAGGGGTGGTATGTTAGGTACCACCTCCCGTACATTTCTAGCTGGCCTGCATGCCCTTGCGTACGCACCTTTTGTCTCCTTTTGCTCCGTTGGCCTGGGTAGCTACTTGCGCGCCCATATTTGCCATAGCTACCCAGGCCCTTTATCTTGCCATTTAGACTTGATCTCACTCTCTTTTTTCTCACTCTTCAATGTACTAGTAGTCGTTTCGTTCGTCTTGGTCTCTTGTCTCGTCGTCTACTAGTATAATAAGTGTCGTTCCCACTAACCTGTTCCCGTTGTAATGTCTGGATATGTCGTCAGTCGTCCTGTTTCGAACTCAACATAATAATAAATTTTAATAATAACGAGAGAGCTTGGAAGCTCAAGG